CAATCTCAAATGTCCCATTTGTGGACAAAAAATCTTATGTACTTACCAACAGTGACATTGAAGTTAGCTGCAGGCCTTTCTTTGAATGGACTTTTTACACAGTGTGCAGCAGTGACAATCCAGTAATGATCCAAGATGGAGGCACCACAGATGTGAGGGATACTCTCGCTGATGTCAAAGTATCCCAACTGTACCTGCCATGGCCACTCCCCAGATTTAGCGTACTCCCCTGCTACGATCTGAGGCGACCATGAATGATACACACGTTTAACACCACAAGGACCTAGCGAGGAAAAAAGAAACTATCTTAAAATCAGGTTAAGGACGTTACACGTTATTAGAGCGGTTTATTTTCCCCATCGGCTAGATGTGAAGGCACGTTCATAAAGTTTATGTATGTTATAAAACAAGAAGCGCGCGTTTTGGTTTTTAGGACGCATTAGTGAAAACGTTCGTGGATAACATTGAGTTAAATTAAAAGAAATGTACCTCATTAACTTTATTATTGTGTCTAGACCCATAGCTTACCCCAAGTTGCCAAGTAATTTGGCATACTCATACGAAATAACAGATTTACCGACTTACCAGGATTAATACTTGCTCTTTGTGCAATGGATTGTCATGCAAAAGCTAATTAATACCACAACATTGTTTGTCCAGTTCATATTTTCTACAACTCAAGTCACTGACCTACAAATGTGACGTTCAGGGCGGCTCTTTCTCCAGGCCCAAAATCGTTGTAAGGTACACACACGTATGATCCATTATGCTCTGCTAGTGCGCGTGTGATGTTATGGGCACCAGTGGATGCATTAGACACTAGGATACCATTGTGGTAAATGTTATACGCAGTAACAGGTGGGTTAGCATTTGCGCTGCAAGTCAGGATAATTGACAAGTTTAACACTCCGACGTTATCCGGTATTGATGCCTCTAGTTTGGTGTCATATGGCTTATCTGTGGAACAAGAAAGATTGTGCTAGGATCAATTGAGGCGTGTGATCATAATACGAATCTTTAGGACTCCTCATATCACAACCCTGGTCTTAAAACGAACTTGAGCTCAGTGAGATATTTTCATATCTTCAGCCATTATAATATTCTTATGCGACAACACAAACATGCCAAATGTTTACTGCCCAACGGGCCTCAAATTAGAAGTTGTAAACCTATTTAACTATATATACTTTTAACATCAAGGCAGTACTGTCAATTATCTATTTCAAGCCTTAGCTATCCTGTTCTCAATCAAAGCAGCTGAATGCTAGCATACACTTTAATTGATCCTTTTTCTTGATTTTGTCATTACGAAGACTATTGTTTGTCATTAAACAGGTTTGCGTACTCACGTAACACGTTCAGAACAGCAGTAGCAGTATCAGGCAGCCCAACTCCATTCTTAGCTTCACACACGTACGTTCCTGTATCATGNTACAGTTTGACTGATTGATGGAATAGTTATTCAAACCCTGCCGCTACTTGACTTCTGGTGTTAGAAGGAACCGTGATTTTAGTTACATTGTATAAGTTGTAAATGATGATTCCAGTAAATGGAGTATTATTTCATTATTGGTCAATCTATCATCACCATTTGTTGACTACTGATTAAATAGATTTTTCAACGTTTTCTCTCATCATTCCCAAATTCCAAAGAGTAAGAGCTAGTCATGCTGGTCTATGAATTAGTTCGAAGTGTTTTTATGTTAAAATAACCAACAAGTACATTCGACAGCCCTTGATTCAACTTGATGCTCTGCTTATTCTCACAATTATCAGTCCACAAAATGCAGGAGAAATTAGGTATGATCAGTCTTACTAGTTGTAGGAGGCGCGGTGGCCTCATGATTAGTGCGCTCAACTCCCAAGTAAGTAGCCCTGGCCGGGGACATTGCGTTGTGTTCTTGGGCAAGACACTTACCTCTCACGGTGCCACTCTCCACCCAGGTGTATAAATGGGTACCGGCGAATTTAATGCTGGGGGTAACCCTGCGATGGACAAGCATCCCATCAAGGGGGGAGTAGAAATACTCCTAGTCGCTTCATGCTACTGAAACCGGGATAAGCTCCAGCCTGATGAGCCACTTGGCTCGTATGCAGACTTTACCCTTTTTAGTCTTACTAGTTAGACTGGTATGTAACAGATTTGTGTACTCACGTAACACGTGCAGAACAGCAGCAGCAGTATCAGGCAGTCCAAGTCCATTCTTAGCTTCNATTCCAGTAAATGGAGTATTATTTCATTATTGGTCAATCTATCATCACCATTTGTTGACTACTGATTAAACCAGATTTTTCAACGTTTTCTCTCATCATTCCCAAATTCCAAACAGTAAGAGCTAGTCATGCTGGTCTATGAATTAGTTCGAAGTGTTTTTATGTTAAAATAACCTACAAGTACATTCGACAGTCATTGATTCGACTTGATGCTCTGCTTATTCTTACAATCATCAGTCCACAAAATACAGGAGAAATTAGGTATGATCAGTCTTACTAGTTGTAAGAGGCGCGGTGGCCTCATGATTAGTGCGCTCAACTCCCAAGCGAGTGGCCCTGGCCGGGGACATTGTGTTGTGTTCTTGGGCAAGACACTTAACTCTCTTGGTGCCACTCTCCACCCAGGTGTATAAATGGGTACCGGCGAATTTAATGCTGGGGGTAACCCTGCGATGCACTAGCATCCCATCAAGGGGGAAGTAGAAATACTCCTAGTCGCTTCATGCTACTGAAACCGGGATAAGCTCTGGCCTGATAAGCCATTTGGCAGACTTTACCCTTTTAAGTCTTACTAGTTAGACTGGTATGTAACAGATTTGTGTACTCACGTAACACGTGCAGAACAGCAGCAGCAGTATCAGGCAGTCCAAGTCCATTCTTAGCTTCACACACGTACGTTCCTGTGTCATGTCGACTCACATTCTGTAGAACAAGCTTTTGACCTGATGGAAATACTCTACTGCTGTCTCCAAGCTTAGTCCAGGAGATGTGAGGCACCAAATGCTCAAATGGAGGATAAGAAGTACCATTACAGAAAAAAGACACACTTGCACTTTCGTTGACTGTCATGTTCCGTGGAAAGTGAATGATAGAGAAAGCACCTGCGGAAAGGAATTTTCAGAATAATGTTACACATGTACTTCAAACCAAGCTACCACGTTCTTTCTGCTCCCCTTAGAGCTTGAAGATCTCGGCAACAATGTTCCACCGAACCTCCTCACTTAAAAATATCATAAATAATATTAGTACCATCTGAGTATTTCTGAGTGTTACTCACCACTCACGTAAACGTTGACAGAGCTGTTGCTGCCAGTCCCAAGGAAGTTGATTGGCACACAAAGATATCTCCCCGCATCATAGTATCTGGCTCTCTGAATCACGTATGTTCCTGTAAGACTGGTTCTGAGGTAGACGCCGTCACGATAAAACTGGTATTGACTGGGCGGAGGGTTGGCATCGGTCACGCAAGACAGTGCAATGCGACCGTTTCCACTGACTACTGCATTCACTTTATCGGTGGTTAATTTTGTAGAGGAAGGTTTATCTTAAAGAAAATAGTTTTTAAAAACATAAAGACTTAGAAAGACATAGAATATAACATTTCCTGTCGGAAACGTGTAATTTGGCAATGCTGCTCCCAAAACGCTGATCTTAACTCATAGTTTAAAGCTGTCGACAAAAAACAAAATTAAATACCTGAAACCCAGCAAACAGAGAAGATGGCCAAAATGGAACATGATTTTAACGATTACATTTGTCAAGTGCCAATGAAATATCAACCATAAGTTCATTTGTACGACCTATGTATGATTTACAATGTTGAGATATGATGCTTGTTGTTTCTTTCTGGTTGGAAGTGTGTGCTTGATGAAACAACGGTAAGGGATCACATACTACTTTTAAATAAAGTGTTTCACATTCTTAAGATACACTTTTTAGGTTTGCTTAAAGGTCAGCGAGGGATGAAACCAACTTACAATGTACTTCAAGAAATGCTGACTTAGATACGGGATTTCCAACTCCATTGTCGGCGACACATCTGTATTTCCCGCGGTGTGACCGGTCAGCAGCTAAGATGAGTAAATTATTCCCAGAAGCCACTGTTTTGCCATCTCGCACTCTTATCCATGACAGTTTTACTGTTGGTCTGCCTGTGGCGTTACAGTACATTGTGACATTTCTTCTTTCTTGTTCCAAAACGGTAACGTTTTGGGGAACGTTGTCAAACACTGGTGAAACTGGAAAAAACAAAAAAATATTAATAGCTCGAGCTATCATTGGCTACTTCTAGGTCAGATTACATCAAAAAACGAACTGTTTTTTTTTTTTACTTTGAAGAGGGTTTTATTAACAGATTGCATTAAAGATACGGAATCATGGCAAGGAAACAAGCACATTGGCGAATTAAGAGGAACTGAAGCGGATATTGTATAGTAGAATATAGATTTCCTCACCGTATGGAAATAAAAGCTAATTAGAACGGTACAAGTATCAAGTATATTTTGTGTGGTTTTACACAAGCACCTGAGCACATGAAAAGTTAGCTTACAATTGTCTATCTCAACTGTGGCCGAAGCAGAAACATTCTCCCCACGCACGCTCACAGCCGTGCATCGGTAGGTTCCAAAGTCTGATTTTTCAGCATTTTGTGCTCTCAGGGATTTTCCTGTGGAATAGACTTTGTTGTTGTCGCCAATTTTTGTCCACGCTATGATTGGAGGTGGATTTCCTGTCGCATCACAGAAGATGTCAAAACTGTCTGTTTCATTGACGAGCTGATAACCAGGAAGAATGGAATGGATATGTGGGGATTCTGTAGAGGATATAAATATACGATACAAATTAACCTCTCAGGAACAAGTAATCCTCGTTCCAATTCAGGTATCGAACAGCACTCTTTCAAAAAAAAAAAAAAGGGGACGTATTCTGACAAAAGTGCAATTTAAAATTCAATTACAAGACGGTATAGTGGTTTCATCTTATTGTCAGGGTAAGAGTTTTTGTTGTTATGAATAACAACACAATGCGTAGTAATCTTTAGAATTAAAAGAAAAGTTCTTGCTCAGATAACAATGCTAAATCTCTGCTTTATGACCAATCAACAACCACGCACTAATTGCTAACTAAAAGTAGTATAAATTTACTAGCGTTTTATCACGAATGCATGACGAATGAACCATCCTCGTTATGGAAGTGTTTAGTGGAGTACGGCGCCACAACTCACCATAAAGATAAAGGGTAACATTCACTTCCTCTGCAGATGCAGCATTGGAGCAATTACAAGTGTATTCTCCTTGATTTGCCGCTGTGAAGTTTCGAATAACATAAACACTTTCATTGATGTTGACCAAGGAACCCTCATGATAAATTCGACAAACTGGTTTGGGGTAGCCATCAGAAGAGCACCATATCCCAACAGCTTCACCAAGAGCGGCAACATTGCTAGACACATTGGTTCTAATGGCAGTATTCGTCGGGATTCCTGTAGAGAAAATCACTGCTTTAGTAACCTAGATGAGCTTAGATGAATTGCAATTGAGCCGGTTAAGAAAGGAAAGTTCGGCAAAGATGGAAAAGAGTTGGAGAAAAGAGGTTTGAGCTATTAAGGCGAAATCCGATAGAAAATCGAGCAATTTCAGTTTTAAGTGGACGAAACTTTGTAGCAGAATAATTTTAAGTGTATAACAGGCCTTTTTGCATTTTCTAAAGACTAAAGATATAAATAGTTGCCTGAAATAACACCAACAACAATTTCCCATGGGAACTCGAGAAAACAAATTTCAAAGTTCAGTGAAATGTGCAAACACAGATAATTTTTCATCATCAGTTTCATTTCATCAGTACTTTCAAGTGTTTCATGCGAACTTCAAAATTTGTTTTCGACCTTTGGTATTGCTAGAAATGATTTCTTTTGAGAAGATATTTAAAACAGTCACACAGAAGTTTGCAATATGATGTCAATAATCTCGGTACAAAATTTTTGTCCACTTGTTACTCGAACGTCTGGTGGATTCCCTCTTAATGATCGAAGAAGCAATTATTTTAACTGCAGATAAATGCGAAGGGATAAACTCATCACTCATTAGAGCAAATAAAGAGAAATACGTGCTGTTAAAAATGGCTCCTTAATTCCAAACCTGCAAGTTTTTATGTGGTAGTATATGAAGTGCTTGCAATAGAACCTGAAACCGAGGTAAAACCTTCACAAGGTAGTAAAGAGATCCAAACTACCAACCTACAACGTTAAGCAGCGTTGCTCTCGTGTCGTTTGCCACAATGTTAGTCGCAAAACACTCATAGCTTCCACCATCTGCAGGGGAGATGTTGACTAGAGTAATGTTACCAGTGGATTGACTATCCTGAAGAACCCGTCCATTTTTCTTCCATACAACACGTGGTGTGGGCCGACCAATCACTGTGCACACCAACGTTACGTCATTACCAAGCTCGGTTGTGTGATTGGGAGAAATCCACAAGATACTGGGTGGAACTGGAAAGAAAAATTACATAATTTGGAACTAAACAAGATGGAACGAGCGAGATGAATGCAGATCTATACGGTCAAGGAAGAAAAAGAAATCTATAGACGCAAACGTCTGAAAAAAATCTTCACGCAAACGTCTGAGAACAATCCTTGAGTAGCGGATCGTCAAGATAACAAATTTTTCATCCTAATTTAAAAAAAAAGAAAAAAAACCTTTACACACGCCGTAACCCTGAAATAATGTACACTGCTGTATCGAGAGCCGGATTAGCGCCGAATTCAAGGGGCATCACTAGGGATAGATTACAGAAACTGAAAAGTTTATAAAATAGGATTCTTCGGAATCAAAGCGTCCCTATTAATACTTTAGTTGCAGTCCAGTTCCTTTCGGCGATTATAAGAAGAAGTGTCAGTTATTTGTCGATGCAGCCAAAAAATAATATCTGTGGGTTAGGTGAGTTATATTGACATATTAAAGTTGATAGGTGCTGCAACATTGAAAGATAAGAGTATTGTTATGATTATTGAAAAGTACGCCAGAGATCAAGATTTCATAATTGTTGGTGGTCTTACCTAACGTTTCAGCCGTTGTTGTACACTTTGTGTTTTCCTGAAACTCGACGTCATCGATAGCGATATCACTGAATGCAGTACTACCAACAACACCTTCAAACGTTACCTGCAGCACAATAACACCAGAATAGGTATGTATGTCAAAGGTTTTCGTCATCCACACTGATAGAGTTTTCTCAAACAAACCTGAAGAGGAGCAAATTCCTAATGGTATGAGAAGTGCATTATTGCTCCCTATTCAGTCCAGTGACGGCCATTTATCTCTTCAACGACGCCCGTTTTATTCGCCCTGATTAACACCCTCACTCCAATCCTGTTATTTGATTTAAGAACGTTGGGAGAAACAAATTTATCGTACCTTATACGTGCCATCAAAATAAAGGGGCACCGTCGCTTTGTACCAACTGTTTCCTTGGTTGCCTGACAGCTGCCACAAAACCTGATCTCCAACCTTTACTCTGAGGCTACCAATTGAATGTCCATAGAGATGATAGTAGAAAACCATGCACGTGGCGTTCCCATTGCTTTGTATGTATGGTGATTCAAGACTAGCAGTTTCTCCCACGCTTCGTCCTGATGCTTCTATGTAGAAGTACAATCCTACAAAGTGAAAAAAGCAAACGCTCATTGCTTCTAGACCCGAAAAAAGTCATTTTCGACATGACTATATCCTTTCTTTGNGACCGAAAGAGCATCGTTCTAGCGACGCTAAATCGTTCTGTCAAAATCTTCGGCCTATATTCTCCCGAGCGTTGCTGCCATCATGCTTGATATAAAAATATATTAGTCGAAAAAAAAATTGTTAATAAATGATCGTAATATTTTCTTTTACCTGGATCTTTCTTCTTACAAATCACAGCAGCATCTTCATTGTGGCCGCAATTATGTGATCCCCATCCCCTGAATGAGCAAGAAGCAATAGAAGTCTCATAACCACTGCACCACAAGTCATCGAGCCAAATTTTCTGACTGGAGTTTCCAGCACCGAATCTTCCTTTGACTTCAGCCCAGGCGGCTCCGGGGAAACCCGCCATTCGGCAAATGACTCTTGCATCTCGTATATCGAAGTAATCATTACACACAGTTCCCCATTCACCATTGTACAAGACTTCCACACGACCTTCATGATCACGTGAGCCATTTACCAATCGAACTTGAATAGCTGGGGTGAACAATTTTAAGGAGAAGTGAGAACTCGTTTCATGACGTTTGTATATGAAAGACAAAATTGACTCCCGAAAAGAGCAACCCAACACAGCGCGAATAATGTTCACTTTCTTAAGATTTCACCACAAAAATCGTCACCTATAACTTGGAATATATACAGCGGAACTTACTTGGTGGTTGTGTAGGCTTGTTAGTGTCATTAACCACTGCTGATACGCTCTGATTGGCTGGTCTTGGTGAATCACTACACAACACTCCGGCGTCCTCCAGATGATCGCAGTTGTGAACCAACCAACCATTGTGGCTGCATTCGCTGAGGGAACTCTCGTTTCCAATACAGTCAACATCGTCGAGCCAGATGGGCCCAGTTCCATAAAGATCAACGCCCTGCTCTGTGACTCTGACACCAAATGAGATAGCAGTCCAAGCGTATTTGAAGCCAAGCATTCGACAAACTACAGCCGCGTCATTAATATCCCAGTTGTCATCACAGACTGTACCCCAAGTTCCATCGTGAAAAATCTCTACTCGGCCAAAATTATAATAACCATCACTCAATCGTACTATTGGAGCTGTTAGATAACAAGAAAGTGATAATTATTCTCAACAATGTTAAACTGGTATTTGGCGTAAGGTTTAGTCCTTCTCTGTTCCTGTCGCAAGATTTCCAAGAACGTAAAACGCCGTTAAGCCTATGTCGCCAGAAAATACCGAGTAGTGATGTCTGTGCGTTGTGCAGAAGTTGCACACGCTCGTTCGCAGTCAAAACGGAGACGGTCCTTTTAAGGGAGATAGGTGACTGCGCTTNATCGTCGAGCCAAATGGGCCCAGTTCCATAAAGTTCAACGCCCTGTTCTGCGACACTGACACCAAATGAGATTGCGGTCCACGCGTATTTGAAGCCAAGCATTCGACAAACTACAGCAGCGTCTTTTATATCCCAGTTGTCATCACAGACTGTACCCCAAGTTCCTTCGTGAAAGATCTCTACTCGGCCAAAATTTGGAATGCCGCCATCAGTTAATCGCACTATTGGGGCTAGAGAATAGATAAATAATAATACTACTAATTTTTATCAGATTTTAACAACCTATAGTTTATTCTATCCCAACCCCTGACAATGAGGTCTTCAGGCTGGCATATTAAAATTTCAATGAGCCATTAGCATCAGCTGAAAGGCAGAAACTGTGGGTTTATCACAAAAAGAATGATTTTCAATAAAGTTGAGATGAACCTGTTACATTTTTCTCACCGCAAACTACTCCTGCATCTTCATCGTGGTCGCAGTCACTTGATCCCCATCTTGTGAATGAACAAGAAGCAATTGATGTCTCATATCCACTGCACCATAACTCATCAAGTAGAATGATTTGATTGGAATCTCCGGCACCAAATGTCGCTTCAACCTCAGCAGAGACGGCTCCGGGAAAGCCCATCATTCTGCAAATGACATCTGCCTCTGGTTTGTCAAAGTCATCATCGCAAACAGTCCCCCATTCACCATTATAAAAGACTTCCACACGACCTTCTCTATTACTTGATCCATTCACTAATCGAACTTCAACAGCTGTGGTGCAAAAAAAGAACGTTCATCTTAAGTTATTTTAAAACCAAACAGACAAGTTCAATTCTTGAAGAGAGCCAACCTGCAACACAGTGCGACGAAGTTTCACCTGAACCGGAATTTTACTTTGATATTCTCCAACGAAAACGTTGCATAAAATCAAAATGGTTTAAATTTGGCTAAAAAATATTATCAAACTTATCAGGAAATAGGCGTCTACGAAAACTGTCCGTCTCAATCTGTGACTGTTTATTGCGTTCTTAATTATGAGCATGGAAGTCCCAAGTTTAATTGAAGGGTTTCTGAAAAAAAAATGCTGCTAAACGGTGATTGGATATATTCACATAATAGGCTGCATTTTGGATCGCCCTGAAGACTCGTCAAAATACAAACAGCGAGTAGAAATTTACAGCGATGAAACTTATTGATGACTCATTGGCGGCGGATGACTTTTGACCTCTTATCAAATGAAATTGAGATTTGTACATGTAGAAGTGAACTCACAGGATGAACGCATGCCACGCATCACCTGGCACTAGTTAGTCGGCGTCAAGATTGTATAACCCATAAAGCTACGAGCTACAAAAACCGTTAAGTACAAACTAATTCAGTCAATGTTTGCAATTCAATTGGTTGTGAAAATTGCTTTTCAAAAAACTACACAAAAGAACTTACATGGTGGTCCTACAGGCTTGTTAGCGTCATTAACCACTGTTGATACGCTCTGATTGGCTGGCCTTGGTGAATCACCACAGAACACTCCGGCGTCTTCCAGATGATCGCAGTTATGAACCAACCAACCATTGTGACTGCACTCGCTAAGAGAGCTCTCGTTTCCGTTACAGTTAACATCATCGAGCCAAATGGGCCCAGTTCCATAAAAATCAAGATCGTTGTTTGTAATAAAGACACCAAATGAGATAGCGGTCCACGCGTATTTGAAGCCAAGCATTCGACAAACTACAGCAGCATCTTCAATATCCCAGCTGTCATCACAGACTGCGCCCCAAGTTCCATTGTAGAGGATCTCCACTCGGCCAAAATCGGCCGCGCCGCCATCACTTAATCGCACTATTGGAGCTGTTAGAAAACAAAACAGATTAACAGCCTATAGTCAGTTTCTCTCTTCCCTGTTAAGTAAACCCAGGGGCACTGATAAGAATAAGCTCCAATTCTTGCGACTCTGGTTGGTTTATAAAAAATGTTTGTTTTATCATTACGTTCTGTCCAATCTATACACACATTGAATTGAATAAATGAACTTAATAGGAAACTGGAATTTGGAGCCAATTAATGTCACGTTTACTACGTCGTGCTCNCTGACACCAAATGAGATTGCGGTCCACGCGTATTTGAAGCCAAGCATTCGACAAACTACAGCAGCGTCTTCAATATCCCAGCTGTCATCACAGACTGTGCCCCAAGTTCCATTGTAGAGGATCTCCACTCGGCCAAAATCGGCCGCGCCGCCATCACTTAATCGCAATATTGGAGCTGTTAGAAAACAAAACAGATTAACAGCCTATAGTCAGTTTCTCTCTCCTCTGTTAAGTAAACCCAGGGGCATACAATTGAGCCACTGATAAGAATAAGCCCAATTCTTGCGACTCTGGTTGGTTTATGAAAAAGGTTTGTTTTATCATTACGTTCTGTCCAATCTATACACACATTGAATTGAATAAATGAACTTAACAAGAAACTGGAATTTGGAGCCAATTAACGTCACGTTTACTACGTCGTGCTCAGATTTCAGGTTCTTCTTTAAGACATATGTACCAACAGATTACTATCAATCTGTTAACAGAGAACATTGGAGAAGACATAATGGGATAGGGAATCGTTAATCTAAAGAAAGACTTTCCTGAACAGTTAACAGAGATTTCATCCTCACAAATTGGCTGTCATCTCAAGTTTACTGATAATAATAATAATGGAAGAGGAGAGGCAAAATCATCCCCCTTCCCCGCCAAAAGAAAATATATATTTACATAGCGTAACGTAGTCCTTATCTTCGGTTTAACACTGTTGAGGTTCCTTTTGGATCGTTATGCGAGAGGTTTCTCAGAAAATCGGATGCTAAATTTTTATTATTTTCTAGGGAACGCGTATCCTGCGAAGGTATAGCCAGCTGCCCCTCACTGCTGCCGCCCAGTCAGGGGTTTCACGTACAGCCGGGAGCCATGAGAGGAAGCTGTATTCGCAGGCTATATAACGTGACACTCGTGTATACCTACCAGGTGGTAACGTAGGAGTAACCGAGCTCGACACCACAATTGAAGATGAACTGGGAGATACTACTGAAGGTACAACGACTAAAAACAAGCTAGACGATGAAGGAGCCTTTTGAGACATGATGAAGGAAGTTGATGTAGACGACACTTGAGTGCTGGACGTACGAAAGGACGACATTTTCTGTACATTCGGTGTTATTGTGCTAGAGGATAGTGATGGGGACATCCGATGTATTGTTGTAGATTTAACAGTGGAATGTACTGCAGAGGATACTGTTATTGACGTTGTTATTGCTGTTCCGCTTGGTAGTAGAGTTTGGGAAGTCTGGATCGTTGGCTTTGTCACTGCGCTGGAAAGCCCTGAAGGTTTTTCTGTCGGCGGACTGTGGCATATTACCTCCACGTCTTTTCCATGATCACAGTTATTGATCCCCCAGCCACTGTGACCACATTCTGTTAAAGACTTCTCTTCTCCTGTGNTAAACTAAACATACATTATACATGCAAAACAAAGTTGTCGCGTTTTCCTACCAGGTATTATGGTGGCTGATGGGGATGTAAGAACCATCAATGAAGAAGATGGAGAAAATACTGAAGAAGAGAAAGCTGTGAACGACCAAGATGACATTAAAGCAGCACGAGTTAAATTAACTGCAGCTGGTGTAGATGACACTAGAATACTTGAACCCTGTACGGATGGCGACGCTTGTGTCGCTGTTATCACACTGGAATGTTGTGAGTGTTTCTCTGTTGATGGGGTGTAGCATACTACTTCTGCATCTTTTACATGATTGCACTTATTGATGCCCCAGCCACTGTGAACACATTCTGTTAAAGACTTCTCTTCTCCTGTACATGACAGATCACTTAACCAGACCGGACCAGTCCCCCAGGGATATTCAGTACAACAACCGGCTGTCCAGGCGCCAGGGTAACCTAACATTCGACAAACAACTGACGCATCCGGGATATCCCAACCGTCATTGCATATAGTGCCCCAGAATCCACTTCGGTACACCTCTACTCTGCCCTTATTGGGAGTAATACCACCGACAAGACGGACATGTATCGGGGAATCTAAAGACCATAACAAAAACGAAAAAACATTCATCATCCAACACGGGGATGAAATATTAATCTCTGGTAAAGTTCAAAGAAAGGGAAAGCGTAACAACAATTTAACAAGAGATAACGCATGAAGAGAATTACCTACAGCGACAAATATGTTAGCCTGGACAATTTTTCGGGTCGGTTTAGATGGTGCAATACTTCTGCTTTTGAAACAAGAATTCCAATGAATTGTAATGAACATCTAGCTAGGGAGTTCTAAGGAGGTCAGAAGCATCCACGCCAGAAAGCGTGCAGGACACCGAATCACAGGAACGAAATTATTATCTACGAACTAGGAGTATCCCACCTTTTATTTCAAGCTCAACGACACTCTTCGGTGCCGCAAAGGAGCTGAGGAATGTACAACGAAACCGGGTGGCATCAGTGTCTGTGATATTTTTTAACTGGAGCGTCATGTCATTTCCAGGAATGACATCAAAGGTGTCGTGATTTCCAATTTCCTGGTGAACTCCACTAGAGAACTGTTTAACGGCCATAATCTGCCATAGATTGCTGTAAAGGAACATCTCCCGTTCCAAGAGAATTAAAGAAAAGCGGTCAGCTCTGGATTTTTCTTCTGTAGATAATGATACTGTCCATTCCAGTGTGGCGGGTGAACCTCTGTGTACACCAGTGGATTGTTTGACGCTCCATGATAGAGTATCTACAAAAATAACACAAAATGAGGACTTTGAAGAAGCAAGGATTTGTCAAGAAAACACTCAGCTAAGACAACTAAGCTGCCCTCAGGGCATGGGGGTTTAAGGTTAAAAAGGCGATTAACGCCAAGTTTACATGTAACGGCAGGAAATGTTAACATAAACGCCAGTGAAAATATATACGGTTTACAGTGTTTTCCCTCTTAGCATGGTGCCTCTTGTTCAATAGTTAGTACTCTGACGGCTGTAGATTTCTTATAAAACGGTTCCATTATACTTTAGGTACACTTTACCTGATAAAGCGAACAGCGAAAACAGCATCAAAACAGGCAGGGTATTTTCCATTTGATATCAAAGGATTTAACTTGAGGGTGACATATCAACCTGTATACTGTGGAAAAGTAGAGAAATGAACACAAAAAATTACCTGAAACTTAGCTCGGAAAATCTCTTTTGCTCTTCTAAGGAATCTTATNAACGTAGTTCTGGGCTCCGATGTTTCTCTTCCATGTGATTACGTATTGACTCCGCAAGAGCAGCAAGAAGCTAACATATTTCATCTGTTAACATGGACGCGAGAGCAGCCTTTCAACAGCGAGAACTGGGCTGGCTTGGCCGTCAAATCAACATTAACTGGGACTAAAGTTATCTACGATGATCCGCAACACATTTTTATTACGAACAACACTTTGCAAGTCACGAACGTGTCAGTTGAGGATGACACTCGCTATCAGTGTGCATTTCAAAGCAGTTTCTTCTCATCTCCAAGTACTATCGAACTAAACGTACAATGTAAGTATGCTACAACTTCCAAGTTTAATTTAAAATCATCATACCTTATAAATCGTGTTGGAGGCCCCGAGACGTTGGTCCAGTTGTCGGCCAGGTCTTGTTTGCGATTTCTATCTGATCATTATTATTCATACAATATTCAGTGAAATCGCACTCGAACATGCCATACGTGTTTGCTCAATACTGTGTTTATGTCGCGAGGGAGCAAACTCAATTTTGCATCACTGTACGAGCCACCGAATCGCAGTAACTGCTGTAACGTCGATTCGACGTTATTCCTTCCCGTGTCTTCAACACTGTTATTTGTCAAGATTTGTATTTGCAAAAATACGGTTGTCAACAATGATATTATTCACACAGACATCTTGTCAAAGGTGACGAAAATCTTATGAAAACTGCATATAAATTAGATAGATATTGACGGCTAATGAACGGTACCTCGCCTAAAACACACAGATTGGCTTTATTCCGGCAGACGAATGGACGTTTTTTCCTAGTATTTCTTGTCTAATAACGAGCTTATAACAAACGCTGATTCGTTTTTCTTTGGTCTTTACATTTAAATAAAGTGTATTTCGAGATTTGATCTTTCTATTAATGCACGCTGATGTTGCAAATGTTTTGCAGAACTGATCAAATTTGCGGATGTAGATTGTCAAGATTTGTTTCCTAAACGGGAAATGCTGGAGATGCCTTGTTCAATATACGTCTAGATGAAACAGTTACGCATTTGGCGCTAATATGTGATATCTGAAGTAATGAATTATTCAAACTTCAAATATTAATTCTTAAAAAAATCGACATTATGAAATTCACCTCTGTTTTGTTTCGATCTATTCTTCTGCTCCATTTTCGCGTTATTCAAAGTGTCTTACTCGTTTGTATTATTCGCGGTAGGAAGAACTCATTTTTTATGAATAAAAACAACAGCTGAAAATATCCAGTTAAGTACACACAGAAAACGTCAAATTTGAAATAAACACGTAGACATCCATGACGTATGTTCAAAGTAGAGAAGCAACTTTTGTTGACATAAACCTTTAGCAGATGTGACCAGATATTTTATTCTTTTTGTTTAAGACAAAGGTAAACCATACATGTATTTACAGTGAACTCCTTTCCTTCAAATTGATTGAATTTTAATGAATGAATGAATTTTTAAAAATATAGTGTAATGTGTCAGGTGAAGAGATCCCAGAAATATTAAACAATGTATGATATATTTTTCTAACCGTCTTTAATTAATACCTTTTGGTGGTCAGAAAATATTTCTTGTCAAGTGTCGAAGAAATAGACAACAAAATGATATTTCTGAAAAGTTCTGCCAGAAAGAAATGACCGTCATTACTTTCGAGTAGTTAAAACGTGTCGAGAATGTTTAATTTGAGACATAAGACATTGGCACATATGAAAACATGGATGTGGACCAACGTGTTGTTTACTTTATGAAAATATATTTGCTGGGGAGGTTTTGAACTACAATTTTAAGGAATCGATCTTTGTCCTTAGCGGTTCAGATTCTTCTTAATTTACGGTATAAGAGAGCTGAGTGATCAGAAAGTTGGAGTTGATTATGTTAGCCGCTGAAGGGAGTTGTTGACAACATGTAGTTTAAAACTGACATTGTTATCGCCACAGTGTTTCAGGAAGTCAAGTTGCATGTGTGTTTGATGTCCGCTTGTTTGAAAAATTTTTAAATTCTGGGTGTTGTTATGCTTGGATCTTTACAGCATCAAAAAACTGTTCCCATTTCTCTTTTTAAAATTCTCTTATTTCACACTGAATGCATTACTCAGTTTTCATGTAATATCAAATATTTTTCACGAGATTTATCCTTTTTATCTTTTGATGAGGACCTCCTCATTCTCAAGATGGTTGGCCCTCATACAGTAAAAATTATAGATACCTGAATTAAAGTAGCGAACTCCCTAACGTTGTGACCCTCCGGAAGTAGCGATGGAAATGGCTGCTAAATCTTAAAGCAAAAAGATTCGCTACTTTTGGAACTCAGTTGAGTAAAGGGTACCAAAACTGTTCAGCGCAACATACAGTGGTGTATTTGAGGTGACACCCAGTACTCTATAGCTGTGGATTACTGGTAACACACCTGCCTTAGCAAGCGGTCATTATTTTGGTCTTTATGTTGTAGATTATAGAATTAAATTCCTTACCATTTATTATCATTTTGTAGATAAACCGACAGAAACCCAACTCAGCAGTTCCGTGGAACCGGTCGAGGAAGGGAAACCATTATTGATCACGTGTACAGCACGTGCAAACCCCTCCGCCGAATATAAATTTTATCGTGACGGTCAACTGGTCAGTTCGTCCAGTACAGGCGTCCTTACATTTGTCAGCGTCAAGAACGAAGACCAAGGAATTTATCGCTGTGTTCCTTACAATCAACTTGGTGAAGGCCCTGAGGCTAGTATTACTGTTACTATTGAAGGTAAGCAAATTTACCATGCACCAGTGACTTGATATTGAGACCCTTTGTATGTTATTACTTCAAAGATTTCTGTACTTGTAGACCTTGTAGTCTGTTTCATGCATAGTTATATTTGAAGACCATGCGACTTCTGGCTCATAGCTTGATAACATTTAGTAATAAAAGCTATGTTTCCACTACGTTAGGGTCAGCCTGAAGGAAACAGTCTTCTGAGTTTTTAACTTTTATGGGTAAACTAACATGGGCTTTATGATGCTAACACAGAAATCTCGTAGGCAGGGGAAGCTGACTGTAATTTAAAGTATACACATGTACGATATTCCAAGATCTTGTGCCACTGTAGTGTTGATATACCGCTGAGGACCTAAGTAGCTCTCACATTGCCTGTTCCGTCGGTCATGAGGGATTCCGTTATTTGGTTTAACCGTGCTTTTCCACTTCTTTGGTAATCTTGGACTGAATCAACTGGCAAATTTATTGACTCTGCAAAAAAATATAATAACGTCTAAAATTGATGTTTTCTTGTGTGATAGATGAAGAGAAGTTTCCTGTTTGGGCGTACGGTGCCATTGGTGGATTTGTTTTGTTGGTGGTGTCAATTGCCTTACTTATAGCTTTCTGTCGCACCAGAAAACAGGACAAACCAGGTATGATGCTGGAGATGTAGGTTATTACTCGACAGTTAGTCACTTAGCACGATATGAGTCTGTCACTAGTCAGGAGCCTGTCAAAAGTGAATTAGGTCAAGGACTAGGTTCAGGCTGACGATCCGAAGAATTGGAGAATTAACTAAGATATTTGCAAATTAAACAGCCGTGTGGTCCTACAAAGTGTCTTAAACTGTCCACACTATCCTTCTTGAACTAAAATTATTATACATGTACGGTAAGTAATCATACTGTATCGGAATTTTCTTGCATCTGTCACATGTAAAAAGTTGAATGACTGATAGTCTGTTTGTAATGTTAATCTCTTAACACAGATAAAAGAGGAAACAGACCAGGGGGTAAAACTGCAAGGTAAGATGTGCTTTTCAATCTCTGGGAGGCAAGTCAACTCCTATTTTCGTTAGTGAAGGGCTTTCTTGATAACATTTTGCGCCGGGTTAAGGAGTAGTTCCTTCGCGTTACTAACACTTGCCTGTGGGGCAAGGAACGCGGGCTCACAAAACGGCTGGAATTCGAGCCTGAAGCAAAAGTCGATTGCCAAAATTCAAAACAAGCGGAAAACAACTCAGGATTAGTGCTTGAAGTCAAACTCAGATTACGATGCAGAATTAAACACCGGTGCTCAGCAAACTGCACGTTATTTTCGATCTTCAGTAAAACCTTCTCTTCTGCTGCTGTTTTACATAGAAAATGGCGTTTTAAATAAATTGTTTCTTCAATTTTAAAGGCACGGAGATGCAACAGGCGCCCATATTGGTCCTTCTTTTTACGGAGAACAAACAAATGGGCGACGGGAGGTAAGGAATATGTGCAGACATAGGTACTCTGGTGTAAATTGATGTGTTATAGTTACTGTACGTTTTTATACTGTGATTTTTAGATTACCACATGGTGGAATGACGTCCTGTTTAGTCATAATGAGATAAGCGATTACGAATTTTATAAAGTGACAATTGGTGCCAGAAGGTAACGAGGAGTCGAAAGAACTCATCAAAATCAATTATTACTACAACTCTTCAAAAGCTTTACCATACTGACCAAGAGAACATTTAAACAAAATATGCCGCTACATATAGGGACAATGAAATTGTAAACTACAGTAGTTAAGGAAGTTGGCCTTTTTTTTTTACAGAATTTATTTTGTTGCTGCTTTTCAGTTTTGCACCTGGGAGCTGCTCCTTAAATCGAATAGCAATTTTGTTTTTTCTTTTCATAGATTGGTCACCTGAACGCCGCTTTAAGCTATAGTGACGTCAGAATGAGTCGCGAGGTGAGTTTTGACATGGCGCTATTTCTTCTTTCTATGATCTAATATGAACGTGCGAGCGTAAGCCACAAGTCAAGTGTGCAAGAGTGCAACAGAAAACGTATAATATAACAAGGCCAATTATTTTTATAAAATTTAACGCCCTGGACAGTGTTTATAAAATAGCCTTCAGGATCATCTTAATTTATAACAACTGCTTGTTTCGGTCTTCACATCTTGTGTCTGAAAAACAGCTACATATTCATGTTGGTTCGAGTAAATAAATTATTTATTTACTCGAACCACATTGTTTTTATTGGTGCCCCACTCAAGATTGTTTCTATAATTGTAGAAGATGGGAAAATGGATACTTCATAATTTCATAATTTTGAGTTGTTTAAAAATTAACAACAATAATGAATCATTTTTTTCCCATCCAGATTCCAGTCGCATTGAAAGGTGCTTTGAGTGCTAATGACGTCAGAGTGGCAGAGGTGAGTGTGGAAAAAGCAAAATAATATCAAATGATGATGGCTATTAACATAAGGTCACTGCGAATCATCGAGGTCAGTAACTTATACAAACATTTCATCCACACGAGTCTGGCGATAGTTTATGCCCGTCCACACTTTGATAAGCAGATTCATAAGCACGGACGTCTTGGTTTAAGATTGACATTGAGCATGCGCAAATTACTTGATGTCACGTCAGCGTTTTTAAGTGTATCCGTTAATGATAGCCACACGAGATGTCATCATCATCACAGTCCTCATCGCGCCGTCGGACGCATAAGGCCTTGCACGAGAAGATGTAAGCAGAGATAATTCTCATTTTGGAGAGCGTTTTAACTACGTTTTAACTTTTTACGTGAACGCAAGGCGTAAACCGATGACAAATGTAATTTGTGATAATCCCAAATTAGCATAAATTACCATTTTGCCGGCACGGAGCCGAGAGTTGGGGGCGGGTTCGAGCTGTGCAGTGTTCAGCGGGATTAGATTAGTTGCCGTTAGCAGGGTGAGACATTCTACGGTCAGCCTTCACCATGTACAGTTGTAAAGTTTCTTTTCCTTTTCTTGGTTATGCACGAACGTTACTTTACGATCGTTTATATCTCTTTAGTGCTGTCATTTTATTACATCACTGTAATTTACTTCATTTGGGTACACTAAGTTTAATTAGGATACCCTAAAACCCCAAGGGTGGCACCACTGCCTTGGTCGTGGGCACACGTTCCCTTATTTTTTCCACCTGCTGGTTTCGCGGGGTTTTCGTGTCTGGCTTTGGTGCACTTAGTTTTCGAATCTTTGTAAGATCTGTTGATCCTGAATAAACAGCACGGTGGCTTGGCTGTCCAACGCGCCCAATTTAATCACGACGTGTGTCCGGACGAGTAGTGGAGACAAAATAACTGGTTTACAGGTAAACGTATGTGTGGACGGGGCCACTGATAAGATGCACGATGAATGATTAAACGTACGCAATATTTATTAAATGTATTTGTTCTTCCAAATCAGAATGGCACAATACAAGATGCTTATCCACCTCGGTCAGTTATTCAACTGATTGAAGCCAAGGGAAATATGGACTCGACAATATGACCCGGACGACACACTCAAGTTGTCGAGGATTGAAGCAATGACGTGAAGATCGACATGGAGCGGCCTTCGTCTTATTTATTCGTTGGTGATCACCAACTCAAACTTTCAAGGCTAATTCCTTGTCAATATTTTGTATTGAAACAATATTTGTTCGTGTCCCAATTGAACGCTGCATGTTTTTGTTTTAAAGTTTCACTGAAGAAAAAAATAGCTTTTACTTTTATATTTACAGCAAATTTTAAACACAGACCAATGTCGTGATTAGTTTGTAAATAGGATCATAGTTAAGGATGAAACAGTTTAACGACATGGAACATTCCTTGCAGTTTAATTTCCACCGAGGAGTCGCAGAATGTTTTACTATTAAACTTTTTTTTCAAGAGTTGTTGGTGTTACTGGTATTAACTACAATAAGTTACTACTGGAAAGGCACGAGGCCTTTTTTAGAAACGGTTTTGGACTTTTGGATCTGAAACGGAAAACTGGCCAGAGAGTGACCATTTGAAAATCTTACGACGTCAAAGCGGCCATGTTGGTGTCTCAGGAGTCTAAAATTAGGAAATGAGATATTTTCAAATGGAAAATTGTTTTGTTTGGGAACACCGAACACCAACGTGGCCGCCGTGTAACGCTCCATTAACAACAGGGGGAAACAGAGGTGTTTGCCAAATCTAAATATATAGCTATGTGCCTAGAATCGGCGCAGGGTAGGGGGCAGCGCCTGTTCTCTGATGGCCTTTTCGTCCGATATTTTACTGCGCCTTTCAATAACATTCCGACTCTAAAATTCAACACTCAACCGACAAACGCGTTTTTCGCTACCGTCATTCATATGTTCGGCGGCTCCTTCCAGCTTCCGAAAACTGCCGAGCGCGTGGTAATCAAATCGTTGGGCACAGTTCAGACAACGAAACAGTGCTCAGCAGTAGTCGGAAGCTGAGAGCAGCCACCGGACACTTGATTGACGGTAGCGAAAAACGCATTTGTCGGTTTAGCTTTGAATTTTAGAGTGCGCATGTTATTGAAAGGCGCAGTGCACGCTTTATTTCCGAAGCTCAACGCACAACAACACGGATTATACACAACTGTGCAAGACGATGGAGCCGGAAAAGACCCGTGATTTGTTCGATACTCCTTGTACTCAGATGAAAAAGGAAGGAACTATGTTAGCCTTTCAAGGTCTTGTTTACCGATTTCACAGTCACGAATTTGAGTAACTACCATTTCCAAACAAAGGATTTCTCTCATTAATGCGAGGCTAAGGATTTAAGTATTATGGGTGTCATTATGTTGTGTTATTTCGGTGATAAAAGAGCTTGAAGTTCGGGGTCGGGGGCACAGACAATTTCCATAAGCGGGTCTGTAAACGATGCAGTATTGTCAAACATAAACCTACACTAGTGAATAGATGAAATGATCATATAATAGCTGTTATTGCAGTTGAGTCTGCGGTCAAATATTCTTTTGTTTTAAAAGGCATGCAAATGAGGCGAAAGGGTTAATACAAGGCAGAATTGACCCTTTCGCCTCGTTTGTGCGTCAAGTCGCTGATAACTGCAATGACAGCTATTAAACTGCGGAGAAAGATATATATGTTATTTGCCGGCTGGGAGGTCCGTATGGTGAAAAACTGTGACCGAGGTCTTGAAATTTT